CCCAGCTCCCAAGTCAGCCCGCCACAACAGTGTGAATTCCTCAGGGAAGTGCCAGTCTCCTCCTCTTGTATCTCCCACACTCCTCTGGCGAGCTAAGAAAATGTTTATCTCCCTGAGCCTGGCCTTCATAATTCCATTCCATTACAGGAGGGTCCCTTCTGAGATGCTTCCTACTCCTCTTTTCCTTCTGTGGGCTGAGATATCTTTTGCATGATGGTTGTCTAGGCTGTGTCTCTTCCTCCTGTCTCCCAAGGTTATTCTCACATATCGTTACAGTGGTCTGAAAATGGCAGAGAAACTGTCCTGTGCTATAAGTTGCTTTAAAGCAAAGCACTCTGTCGTTTGACTATGCCTGAATGAATGCACTTTGGTTCAGCAGCAAGCGAGCATTATTCAGCATTTCAATGCAGCCACCCATCCACGTGCTCCCAAGCAAATATTTGCCACCTTAAAGATTAGAAGCTTGCTTTCAGAACAGGAACAAAAGCTGAATTTCAGGGAGCTAATTTGGCTTAGAGCATTAGATATTACTGATTGGTAATTGCAACAATCCACAGGCTTTAACATGTTTTCATTTCTTAACAAAAATCAAAAACTGTTATAGATACTTAACATTATTTGTGCTTTCACCCGTAGGCCAACAAATCTCCTTAACTTGTAAAAAATGGATAGGTCTTATTCTGGCTGCCTGATGGCAGAGAACAGAACAAAAGCAAAAGCTTGCTTCTTTGAAAACCTGGCATGGGAAGAAATATAATCCTAATTATATACTTCTCTTCCATATTTATTTCTGAGTCATGATAATATTTAGAATGCAGCAAAACATGCACTTTGAAAAGCACTTTGAAAACATTACCTTTATAGCATCCCTGTGTGGTAGAATAGGAATAGAGAACATGACTGTTGTAGACCTGGGGCTGAGAGATTTGTAACTAGCCTTCTGCATTCAGAGCAGAAATGCACATTAAAAGGGGAGGGAGGGAGGGAGAGAGAGAGAGAGAGGGAAAGAGAGAGAGATCTGGCTTATAGTTTTTAGTTTTGGCTACTATTTGTCCCTCCCACTTTCAAGGATACATCAGTTCTCCACACTCTCAATGCTTGGTGCGTTAGTTCTCTTATTTTGGATATGCACCTCTGTCGCTCTAATCTTTAATCTGTCTCTATATCTATTCATATCTGTATATCATACGGCCGCTTCATGCTCGCTTGCTGAAAAGAAGGCAGGATATAAATCTAGTGATTAATATCATGAGAGAATTAGTTGAATTTGCAGATCTGTTAACTTGGAATGGTCTTTCCTGTTACAGGCAGAATTCTGATCTACCATGTCAGAGTTCAGAAGGAGTCTGGGATCACTTTTTCATAAGCTCCTGAAAGCTTATGCCTTTTAATAATATCTGGTAGTTAGAAAAGGTGCTACCAGGATCCTGTTCGCCTCCAATTTCTTGATTCTTGATGGGGACAAATTCTCTACTGCAGGCCAGCTGTCTTCTGCCTTGTGTCTACCTAACACAAATGTTGTCTTGCTACAACATTTCAGAACTGAGTCACTTACCCTTCCGTTGTTTACTGAGAAGCTCTCCTTAGCTTTGACTTTACTCTTCTCTGCTTAAATTACTAATACACGTTGGTCCCCTTGCCTTCTGATTGTGTTAAATGCTCATTTCTTTCTCTTTTCAGACTAAAAGCGAAACCATTTCACTTCTTCCCTTTAAGGATGATTTGGAAGCTTGGTTCTGCAGTAAGATAATGAGGGTTCCTCCCTCCCATCCCAAAGCTTTCGTTTTGGATAGAAGCTCCTTTTTTCTAAGAATGGAGGATTTGGGAGCTGGTACAGGGAGAGACCGTAGATTTCAAAATTGCAGATATTGTGCTAGTAAAGAGACAGTAACTGCAGTACCGTATCTAGTCAGTAGATGCCTGTAGATACCAGGACATGATTTCTGGAAGAAAAACTGCCATGAATTTTGCAGCCGAGTTAGATCATTGTGATGAAATGGGCAGGAAAGCTTCCTCTGTAGCAGCCTGATTGCATATAGAAAAATGAATATGTGAGAGTGCGATTGAATATGAGTGTGTACGTGTATGCACGCACCTGTTTTTTAACCAATGTATAACGTTGCAGACAAGCTGCCAGACCTCCAAGGAAATAAAACAGTCTTGTAGCTGGAGTTTTTCTAGCAGTCTGTTTGCTCTGGTTTCTCTTTTGTTGCATGGAACATCCTCAGTCATTCCATTTGCTGTCTTTATAACGAGGAAGAGGAATTTGTAGTAACAAGTTTACCTGCAATAGCACATTTCTGAGAGTTTGCCACTTGTCCGGGCGTGTGGGTGGCGGGGGCTTTTTTGTTACTTAAAATATATTTTTCTACTTCTTAAGAAACTGCTTTTTAAAAGCAAGCTGGTTCTTGTTATGGCAAATGTGGTTATTGGTGTTGCTGCCTCTAAAATATGATTTAAAAAAGAAAAAGTAAAGTCACCAATGAGTTGAGGTTGACTATTGGTGACTTATGTAGAGTCATTCATGTAGTTTTCCTAGCGTGAGAAAGTAGTTGTTCTGGGATGTTTTGATTGACGTCCTCATCTAGCCTGCAGACCTTTAATTTCCAGTAGTCTCCTGCCCAAGTCTAACCAGGCCTACCATGCTGACTTCAGCTTAAAAATAAACACTGTTGCAAAATAAGGAGGAGGAGAAACAAGAGCCTTCCTACCACCCAGCTGGAGTTCTACACTTTCTCTCCTGCCTCCTTTATCATCCTGTGCAGTGGTCTCTTGGCTCCTCTTGCTTCCTTTCTGCATTCACCCTTATGTGTCACCTACTAATATGGAACATGACTCCAGAAATAAAACTAAAGGAGACCAGCCTTAGGGCCTGCTTGCAAACAGTGAAGGCTGGTTATTACATTTGATGGAGAAAGCCAAGCCTTTGAACCAGAAGTAGAGTTTGCAATAGCTTTACTAAGAATGAATAGTCTTGTATTTTGGTTAAGGGAACCCTGTACTTAAATCAGCTTTTCTTTTGGCTTCGATATAGGACATCTATTCCAAGGGCATAATTCTTCTCTCTGCGATAGCTACAGTCCGAATGCATGGAGACAACAAGTTTGAAGTGGTGACAGCACACAGAATATTTGTCTTCAGGGCTGAAAAGGAAGGTGAGACTCATTTCTGAAGATTCATTTCTGGATTCTTTTTCAGATCAAGGGTGCCAAGTGCAGGGTCTCCCAGAACAGAAGAAGTGGAAAGCTCTAGAATTATAGCATGGAATTGAAATCTAAAACAACAACACAGTAACAAATGGGGAGAATGTGTACATCGGTTCCATTAGGAAAGGCTTCAATATTTTCTTTATACTGTCAATCTGACAGTTCTTCCTATACCAAGCAGAAAATGCCAAGTTTTGTTTGTGTTGAGCTTGCAGCCTTATGAAAGAGATCCAGTCAATTTGTCATATGGTGTTCTTCTCATTACTTTGTCCGCTTCCCTTAAGAACCTGACTATTGTACCATTCCCAAGTTGGTGCCTCCTAAATGTGTGAAACTACCTCTTCCATCATCCTCATCTTGACCACCACCTTGCTCCAAAACAGTAGCCTTTTTTGATGGATGGGCCTGAAAGCATTTTCGATATCATAGATCAACTTTGATTATTCTGCTTCATATTTCTACACAGTCTAGAGTCCATTGGATCTCTGGGAGTCAGTCAGTCTTATAAATAAATACATGGACAAGCAAAATGACTGTGGGGCTGGAAATAGATGGAACAGAAAATATGTGGCTTCTAGTGACAGCACTCCTCTCTGATCATATTATTAACAAGGCAGAGCAAATACAAAAATGATGGTTGGACCTGGTACTGGAGACATCCATTACTCCATTATCAATTTCTCTATTCAGGCAATATTCAGATAGGTTGAACCTTTCAGGAACTGCTGGAATTGGCCTCTGAGAAAACATATTGCTGTAATCCAGGGTTGGGTGGCTGGGTAAATTGTAGAGTAGGCAAAGCTGGTGAAATCTCTTAGCCCCTGTGCCAGTGCTGCTCCCATTAATAGAAGACAGCATCCATATATGTCTTTAAAAATCCAGTTGCTGCTTAACTTTGTCCTGTTTCTGCTTCTAGGCAAACTTCAGGAGTAACAGATATGGAAGTATTTGTTTAGCCATTGAGCTACCTGCAAGCTGAATATGAGAGCCAGTTTGGTGTAGTAGTTAAGGCACCGGGTTAGAATCCAAGAACCCATGAGTTCTAGTCCCGCCTTAGGCACAAAGCCAGCTGGGTGACCTTGGGCCAGTCCCTTTCTCTCAGCCCTAGAAAGGAGGAAATGGCCAACCACTTCTGAAATCTTTGCCAAGAAAACTACAGGGACTTGTCAAGTCTGACTCTAGGCTATCCGTCTACCCACCCCTATGCATAGTTGCAAATGAGCCCTAGATCTCTGTGTCCTAGATCACACCCCAAAAATTTAGTAGCAGGTTGCTGAAAAAACTGGCTATACAATTTCCTGCCATTTAGAAAACGCACAAATCCTTTGGGTTGCCTTAGTGCACCTAAAAACTAAAAATAATTTCTCCTCTTGAAAATTAAATGAACTTTGTTTCAAAAACATGATCTTCAGGTGTACAAAAGTTGTCTTTTCCTGGATTAGCAGATAAGAGCAAGTTTCTGTTTACTAAACCCCTAAAATCAACATTGGGATAAGTCTGGCCATCCATTTTTCCCCAAATGAGAGAGTGATTAGTGTATTAGCAAAATAGGTTCTTAACTAAACCCACAAGAATGAAACTGAAGATTCAGGAAACACCCACTGAGAGTAATAAACTCTTCTTTATGACAGTGCCATTACGAACAGTATGTATTTCTCATCAAATGGGATGCACTTGAATGTTCATTAATTACTTTAAAAACAAGACACACTGAAAATAACTGTGTTCTCTTTAAAAAGACTATTCACACGCAGTACTAGCCTTCATTTGTTTAACTGTGCTTTGTTGAGTAAGCCACATATTATTTGCTTGGGATGAGGATTAGGATGAGGTGCTAAGTCAATCCTCAACTTTCCCCCAAGATTGACTTAGCACCTCATCCTAATCCTCATCCCATTATAATCTTTAACAATAATTTTGATTTATTTCTATTTGCTGCAGTCATAATTTTAACCCATTGTAACCTGCCTGGACTCTTTTGAGCGGAGTAGGCTATCAATGCTGTACCATAGATAATGCCTACATCATAAATTGTGGTTCACAAGCTCCAGTGACTGGGTTTGCATAATACCAAAGCTGAATAATACATTATAGTTTAGTGCACTGGAGACATTCAGCCAATCACAACTCCAGTTATATTCTTGTACGGTGCTATAACATTTATCCTAGCCTGATGTTATCCACTGGTATAGACTTTGTACTAAATTAGACTCTGATGGGAGGATATCACTACCCCAACAAAAACCCTGAGATAATGTAGCAGCTTGCAAACCTTGTAGGGTAAAATCACGTATCAAGGCCAAAATAACTGCATTTTCAAGGGCTTTTATGTCATCGTATGAAGTGGAGCTTGTCTGAACCTTCTTTAGCACTTATTAGCACCACTTAAAGCTGTGCTATCAGCCATCTGCTGTGAGTCAGTCTTCAGTGTAAAGCTGACAAAGAGCAATGAGAAGTTGATGGCTTGAACGTAAGGATCGAAGAAAACCTGATTTTGGATTTCATGCCACTTTTACACAGACAGATGCATAGATCCAGTCATTGTATTTGCCAGAAAGGAATGCTGGGTTCCTTCCACCCCTGACAATAATTTATTTTTTAGATGGGATGGTGTCAGTTCATGAAAGCAGATGTGCTTTTCATCTGATCTTCCTTTATGGGAGTAGGAGCACCTTCAATTTGGGGACAGCTTCCTGTTTGGAGAAATGCAACAGCACATCATTGTTTGGTAGGGTGCCCAGCTGCTTTTTAAGTGCTGGAGGCAGAAAGCAAGGAACAATTTCTTTGGGATTAATTGATCCACCTTTTAGCCTGTCTGATGCTGGCCCGGCATGGAAGTGACTGGATTTAAATGGTTGTTGAAGAGAGTGGGAAATCAGGTGGCCATAGAATATAATAGAGGGAAAAAAATAAATATTTTTCACCTATGTACCTCTGAAGTTTTAGTGGCAAAGATAAAAGGACAAGACTAGCACAAGTGAGATGGGGGTAGGGAGTGGGTGTGTATCACCCATTATCCAAAAGCTGTTTTCACGAGAATACAGTTACAGAAATTGCAGGAAAAGCTGCAATTCAATTGATTATTGAATCTTAATATATAAAAATACATCACCCATCTGATCTACTGTAATGAAGTCTTCCCTAATCTGGTGGCCTACCAGATTTGCAATCTTTGCAGCCATTGTCTAAAAAGAATTACGGGATTTGCAGTCCAGTATATCTGAAGGGAACCACGGGGAAAGCTGCTATGGTTCATCTGTGATACTTGGACACATTTCCAAAGGGAAAGTGGAATTACTTTTCCACTTCATTTCTTTAGGTCCTTGAGTGATGCTCTCTCCTGACACCTTTCTTTTATGGAGGTGAGGTCAACTGAGAGCATAGGGAGGTGGCAACCTGGCCACATTAAATCTCCGGTCATAGTGTGATGCTCAAGTCAGACTTCTTTCCAAAATTCAGAAGTTTATTGTTGGGACCACAGGTCATAACAACATGTCACAGCATAAAGAGGAATGGAATTAGTAATAAACAAAACAGAAAATGTGTGAAGGAATTAAATTAAGATGGAACCAATACTGCAATAAAGAGCTTAAATATTTCTTCCTAAGTTTAAAAGAAAGTATGTTACCTGACTGCTAACAGTTGGAATCACATCTGCAAGAAGGTAGTTCTGTTGTTGAGCATGTGACTTTTAAGTTTGCTTATCATCAGTGTTTTCTCCCTGATTTCATTGGAGATAGGGCAGTAGAGGACGTAATAGATGATGTCCTTCACTTGGCCACATCACAGGGACAGAGGCACTGTTCCACTGGACACTTACAGAATCTCCCTTCAAGGTGTAGGGAAGGCATGGTCTGGAAGCAGAGAGATGTAAAAGCCTTCCTCAGTGAAACAAAGTGATGTTAAAAGAGGCTTCACTGTGTTTCTCGTAGTGGTGGTAACGAGATGAAAACTTTGTACTGCTACAGGCATCCCATTCAGACAGCTTATCAATGATGTTTTCACTTCTTCAAAAACTACATTCCTCTAAAGGGGACAGGGATGCTCAAGAAACAGTGTTGCTTCTTTCAAAGGTGCTTACTATTCTTGGGCAAGATACTGGGCATGTTACTTTTTTTTAGTTCTTGGTTAATGTTTCATCTGCCTATCCAGCTGAAGTATTATTTTGTGTTATGGTCTCTGTCTGTGAAAGGCTGAATAACTATGTCATTGTTGGTTCTCCTATATGATGGACAGTTAGAGCTTCCAGGAATTGTAGTAACCATATCTGGTTGCCTATTCTGTAGTATAGCTTTGAGAGCCAGTGTAGTGGAGTAGTTAAGGTGTTCGAGTAGGACCAGGGACGATCAGGTTGAAGTCTCCTTTCACTTTGTGACTTTGATGGAATCAGTCTCTCTCAGCTCAACCTTCCACACAGGATTGTTGTTGCAGAGATAAAATGAAGGGATGTCTTCATCTAAGCTGTCTTGAGAACCTGTAAGAAAGGTGGAATATAAATATAATGTAATTTAAAAATGATATAATCAAATGTTATAAATAATATGTTTAAAAGAAATGCAACAATAGATGATGATGATGATGATGATGATGATGATGATGTAATAATATAAGCCTTAATACTGAAGGTTATTTCTTTGATCCCTGTATTATAGCCTTGTACAGTGGTTATAGTGCTGGTCTAGGACTACAGAGACACGGGTTAAAGTGTACCTTTGTCCATTGAAGGTCATTGGGTGACTTTAAGCCAAACAACTTTCTCCTAGCCCAACCCATCTCTCAGAGTTGCTTTGGGGATAAATGAAGAGAGATCTCATACTACCTTGATTACTTAGAGGAAAGGCGGGATATAAAATAACATGAATAAATATATGCAGTAAGTTTTTTAAAAAGTCTTTAAAAAACAAAATCTCATTGCCTTTAAGTCAAATGAGTTTGAGTCCAATTTACAACTTGCACTAAAATATTTACAGTGAAAATAGGCCTTTTGGCCAGGTGTGCATTTGGTAATGAATTCAAAAAGCTGCAAATTAAGTAGGTAGGTATGTTTTCCAGCTTTCAGGTTAAAGCTGAGAACCAATGTCGGCTATAACCAGATCAACCCTGGACATATCTGCCTACGGATACAAAGAGTAAAATAGTAGAGAGATTGACTTGTGCAAATGTATGGCTGTGGGCTTAAAAGAATTGCAATATGGCTTTCTTTGTGAAGGAGAAAGAGGGAAGGTATATTTCCCCACGGATTTTCTTCTCGGATCTTATTCTGGTCATAGGTATACAATATTTGAAAAGTTACTGCAACGGACGTGGGTTTGGAGAATGTGATTATGCCATGTCTACGTGAAAGTTCCACTGTGTTTCACGAAGCTTCCTCCCAGATATATCTGCATCAGAATCTGGCCTAAATGAAAACAAAGTGTTGCGGAAGGAGCCACGCATGATTACGCCTGTATTTCAGCTTGTCGGTTTGCTTGATTTCCAAATGAATATCCTGTCCTAGAAGCATCCCCAAGGCTTAGAGTAATCAGAATGAAAGAATTGGTCGTAAACAATGCCATCAACCCTCCAACATAAAAGTCACATTTTAAAAAGTGTGAATGGGGGTGGAGGGCTGGGGTGGCGGTCTGCACGGATGCACAGCATTGTGACATTTTCGTTTGTTTATTTTTAGATGAACGAAATGACTGGGTAGCGACCATCTTTAGCGCTCTGCGGTGCCTGCCTGAAATTTCTCGAGTACGAACGGCCGTTCCACCAGAGAAAAGTGGGTATCTGGAATTGAAAGGATACAAAGCCAAAGTCTTTACCCTGCTGCAAGGGAACAGCGTGTGGATTTGCAAAAGCAATCAGGTACATCCTTCGTTTTCTTTCTTCCTTGGTAACACAGCATCAGTAGTGATGTTAGGGCCACAGAGAAGCCCTAACCAGGAAGCTTTGCCCAATCACGTATTTACAAAATGGCACTGGGATAGTGAAACGCTGAAGCGTGGATTGCGGAGTAATGTCCAGCCATTGGTTTTAAGCAGATGGTTGCCGTATTAGAACACTCACATACCCTAGATAGATGGAACAGATGGCATATTATTATGTATGTGTGTGTATGTGTGCATGTGTGTCTATATACATCTATGTACACACACAAACTTATGTGTATAAATATTTCCACCCACCCACTGGCAGGCATATAGACTTTGATTTGTAGTAGCAGAATATGGGTTCTTGTTTTCTCATTTTAACCTCTGACTTCAAGATATTTTCTGTTTCAAATCTCAATAAGAGTTTATACATTTCTGCAATAACACGTTCATCGTTTGTACATCATTCTGTTTCAGATTCAGTCTTACAGTATTCAAAACCAAAAGTTCTTTTAAGATATTTTCAGTGAGCGTTGCTAGCTGTGAGAGCTGGTTGTCAGATTAATAAAAAGGCTAGTTTCCAAAGCAGTCTAAAGGTATGGGCCGGCCTCCTCCTCTTTACGTCAAAGGTGTGAGAGAAAGAGAACAAGAGAGACTCTCTTGATTTGTCTATATATAGCCTTGCAGTTTGGCCTCAGTTGTGTTGAATAGTGTTGTGTGGTTTTTACGTCTTTGGTTATTTTGGTTGCTGTTTACAATCCTGTGTTAGCCACCCAGAAAATTTGCAAGCTGGACTGCCATATAAATTGCTGAAATGAAGGACGGAAGGAAGGGGAAGGGAAAGGGGAGAATAAAAGGACATGGCATGACAGTTCTATTCTTGATCTAGAGAAGCCAGCAGCATTGATGGGATGTTCAGAATGATAGCTAGGAGAGGTGCAGTTGAGGCACATAGCGGGAAGAGCAAAGACAACTAGAAGAGAAATGAGAAAGCTTAATCAATTACAGGAAATTGGAAGTCCTATTCAGGTGAATTCAGACGTAATTGCCTGCAATTTTCTAAATGGATGATTCAGAGAAAAAGGAGTTTTGATGGAGAGGAACCAACTTAATAAGGCCTGAAGGAGCTACTTTCATGACGCACATTGCTATGAGACAAATACATTCATTTTCTTAAAAGCTAAGAACAAGACTGTTGATGATGAATTGGGAACCATCGACAGGACAGATCCATGCAGAACATTTCAGAAATGGAGCTGAAGGGATGTTCACGAAATACCAATTTAAGTAGCATTTTTCATCTTAAACCTAGATGGTTAGCTGACCTTAGCTGGTCTCAGTAAGCTGAACAAGGCTGGACCTTGTTAAAACTTGGACAGAGATCACACGGGAAGCCAACAGCCTTAGCCTAGACTGGGAAGTTGGAACACATCCCAGAAGAAGACAGTGCCAAATCTCTTCCAGCCAAAAAACCCCCTACATAGATGTGTTCATGAAGTCACCAGGAATTGAGCTCAATTTGAAGGGGCTTTATTTTTTTCTTTAATCCTGTAGTGATTTGCTGATATACTATTGGAAGGGGAAACAGAAAAGATCCTTGAGTTTCTTTTGGAGGTAGCAATGTTGACTATTGATTTGTTCCTCCTCTTAAGAGAGAGAGATGGGAGGATGTGAAAAAAGGAAATGGCTGTATGTAGCTCTAGCATCAGATAACCATGTTAGAACTATGCTTGTGTTTTCTAATGAAAGAGCTTTAAACTTTATTTTCCGCATCCCATCCCATTCTGTCCTGCCCCCTTCTTGCCAGGTGTACCCAAAGTCATCCTGATAGTGACTGGGGTTGTTCTAAATAACCAGTGTTAAATGCCCAGTGGAACAATTGTCTTGGGGTTTGTCAAAACGACAAGGCTGGATGGAATGATTGTTTTCATGGACCTGTGATTCTATTATCTTTTCATTATTGCTGGCTGTTAAGCAAATGCCAGTCACTGATATTGACTCTTCAGACATCTGAATATAAATGAGCTGAGCTGGGGACATAATGCGATCACAATTGCTGGAGTCCATTAGCTACCAGAGTGTGAAATTCTGAATAAGCTCTGCTTAATTATTACAGTGTTCAGCTGCACTGAAAGCAAAGCAAAACTAGGCAGAAAGACCCTCTCCTTGTGCAAAAAAGGAATTGTTTGATTGTGGCCAATCTGTTATTTTCCTGCTGTGGTCTGTCTGGCTTGGCTATTGTGATGCCTTCTGGCTCACCACTAATGAGAAAACATTTGGGATGTTCACAAAACGATTTGATCTGCATCCTCGCAAGTCTGCCTCTTGATCCATGGAGTTGCCTCTTGCTTATTAATCTCTGCCATTAGGTTTCTATTGAAGCACTGGGAAAAAACAAGGCCATCGTTTCAGATAGCCAGGTAAATACACAATGTTCTCTTGAAATAAAGCTAATTAAAGCAGGTTTCCTCCGTACATGGCAAGATAAGGATTCTCGACAATGCCCATCATAGATCTTTCTCTTATTACGGCTGGGACAGAAAGTGTCCCTATCACCCTGGGCATTATGTTCACTTGAAATCATACTGCCTGATACACAATTAAGAGATAAGGAGAGTAATATTTCTCTACGTGAGCGGTGTACCAGAAAAATGCCGGCTCAGATTTTACCTTATTCTTGCATTAGATCTTGGTTGCTGCCACAGAGTGTCACTGCAGACCAGAGTCTAGAAGCTGTTGTGGCTAAAAATAAGTGTGTGTGTGTGTGTGTGTATATGTGCAGTGTATCAGTAAGAGATGTTTGGCTTTTTAAAGATGGTATTTGGACCACTCAGGAAGTAGAAGAACTGGGCTCAGAAAAGTAAGCAAAATGAGGTCCACTTCCTCCTTGAATAGAAGACCAACAGGAAATTCTAATGATGTTGGCTAGACTGGGAAATTGAAAACACACCCTGGCAGAAGACAGTAGTAAACCACTAAGCTCAACCCGAGGGCATCACTACCTTTTATACCTTAAAAAGCCGTGCACTGTTCCTGGTTTTGGAAATGTTAAGAGTTTTCTCAGTGTCTAAGGAAGAAATCGTTAGAAAAAGAACACGTTGGAATCTGCGTTGGAATCTGCATTGAAATAATGCAGTGTCTCATAATTGACAGCATTACAGTAAAAGAAATAAATAAAACGTGTGCACATCCTTACATTCTCTAGAAAACATTCTCTAGAAAACATCCTTGCAGTCTCTAGAGAAGAGTCTGTTTTCTTGTTTATCAAAGAGTTGTTGCCAAGAGAACGAAGAAAAGTCTGCTCTAGTGAATTCAGAGGTATGTCAAAGTGTTCCATAGTATATTAAAGTATTCAGTTGCTGAGATTTGCTAATCCCTTTTCATTATTAATAAATCTGGATAGAGAAGCCTTATTTTGGGGCATCTTGGTCATTAAGGACTTGACAGGGAATTATAGCGTTTTGGCCAGTTTAGGGAAAAAATTAATGCATGATAAACTTGAACAATTCAGGAAATAATACCGTTAGAATATGCACTGGCACCGTGGATTCTAGTCCTGTGGTCTGCCATGATTCAATCCCTTGCTTTAAAAATGTTGTTTTATTTTATCGTTTGAAAAAAATAATTTGCCTAAATGTTAATAGTATATATCATTGGTGTTAAATATACTGTATGTATGTATGTATGTATGTATGTATGTATGTATGTATGTGTGTATTTAATATGGCTGCCTGTCTCATATTCATGATTCTGGGCAGCTGACAAAGCAGAGTAAAAACAACCAAAATAACATAAAATAGCAGGCCAGAACAGTCATAACGACCAGGAATTGACAACTGCTCTGCACACTTGACTTCTCTCTCCAACTTTCCTCTCCAGCCTTTTGGTTCACTCCATGCACAGACTTCTTTTCTCCCCCACTTCTTTCCTCTCCTCCTCTCTCTCTCCAATTTCTAGGTTAGATTTGCAGCATATCCCCCAGCAAATGAGGTGGGTGTCCCCCCAGGGCTCTAGTCCCCAACATCTGTATACCAGGCTGGACCATGGGACTGCTGTCTCGACATCTCCCCACGCCAGCCCTGGCCAGCAGCCGGGTCAGCTCATCAGGCCTTGTGACAGCACAGGTGCTCTTCAAGACCAGAATCTTTTACTCACTCCAATGGCTGGAGCACGCCAACAGAACAGCAACCAGGTCAGGCCACTAGAACCCCTTATGCCACAACTCAACACAGTAGAGACTGTGGGTTGGACCTCTCTTTCCCTATCAACACCAACTGGAATCAGCCGTGGAGGAAGAGGAGAACCATCACAACGCAGAGCCGCCCACCCCAACTCCTGACGCTGGTCCAGAAAGATACCATGATCAATGGTATTGAAAGCTGCTGGAAGGTCAAGAAGAGCAAGGACGGATGTGCCAGTTCCCATCCCTCTTCCACCAGAGATCATCCAAGTGTGTGATCAATGCCATCTTGATTCCATACCTGGACCTGAATCCTGACTGAAAGGGGTCCAAATAATCTGATAAAAAGGGAAGGTTGGAAACTGGACAAAAATTGTCCAGTACTGTTGGGTCCAGCAATGGCTTCTTGAGGAGGTGGTTCCTCCTTAAGAAACGATGAAACCATCCCCTCTCTCAGAGAGGAATTAATCACTGCCAAGACCCAACGACGAGAGTCAGTTTGGTACTGTGGTTAAAGCACCAGGCTAAAAACCAGAAGATCATGAATTCTGGTCCTGCCTTAGGCACAAAGCCAGTTGGGTGGCCTTGGGCCAGTCACTCACTCTCAGCCCTAGGAAGAAGCAAGCAAGGGCAAGCCACTTTTGAAATCTTGCCAAGAAAACTGCAGGGACTTGTCCAGGCACAAAAGACTCAATCACACATCACCTCCTAGGAGGCCTTAGCCAACCAGGAGGGATATAGATCTAATATGGAGGTGACTCAGCTAACAGCCATCAGAACTTCTTCAGCTTCAGTGTATGCTTATACTGTGCAATTTATTTATATTTTAGTCATCTTGCTTAACTTTAAAAGAGATAAACCATATAGGAGATTGAATACATAGAAAAATATGCAAACAGCAAATTTTTAAATAATCCTCCAGTTAAGATTCATGATGATAGGATGTTGTTCAAATATGAAAAGTAAATTCTGCAGACCATTATTCAATCAAATTATATTACTTTGTATATTTTATTTATTAGATTTTTATACCATTGCAATCATGACTTTCAGGACATGCATATAAAACAATCATAATAAAATACATAGAAGGTTAAAAACAATTAAACAAAAATAATATTTTGCTAATATGTCTCCTTCCATCTTTATAATAATAACATTTTCTGCAACTGAAAGAGCATGAAATATTCTTTAAAGTGCTACTCAGCAGGAGGAATTATTCGGTGAAATACAGTATATCTGTAATAATAATTATAATAATCCAGAGTGCAAGATTTGATAATGCTGTTTTTATGGAGTCAATTTCAATTGTACACATGGACACATACAAAATGCTGTAAGTTTTTCAGTTCTCCAAAACTCTTCATTGGGTGAGATGTTACAAAACAATAATCTAAAGCAGACTCAACCTATTTCCTAGCATCGATCCCCTTCTTTTTCTTTCCTTATTTCTTCTGCTGTGATGACCATGTTAAGCCAAACAAAAGGAAAACAGTTTCACTTTACAATTCTGGTTCCTACAAAAGGAATTTGTATGAATCCACTCAATTTTTAGGAAAGGAATGATGTGCTTGACAGGTTTTGGAGGGCAGCTAATGTCTCCTGATGGAGCTGGAGTTTATTTTGACATACCAGTGTAGCACTTATCAACTTCTTGGGTTGCATAATGAAGAACAAATCCTTAATTTCACAATGATGTAAATCCATCCATACTAGGGTGGTGTTGTATTTTGATTTGCTCTCCCAGAATTGCTTTGGAGAACCAACATAGTAGCAGCCTTCAATAGCCAGCTGGTTTATGGTGCAATTAGCAGGTACAGTGGTACCTCGGTTCACGAACTTAATTCGTTCCATGACTCTGGTTGCGAACCGAATTGGTCGTGAACCGAATCAAATTTCTCCATAAGGTTCAATGTAATTACGGTTAATCCGTTCTGAACCATATG